CCTGCCTAGGCAGGGGGTTGGACTAGAAGACCTCCAAGGTCCCTTCCAACTCTGCTATTGTATTGTATGTATTGAATTAATTTATGTGGGTGACATTGTTATTTTACAGTCTATAGCAGTGAGCTGAAGAAGTTTTACTACTGATATCAAAAAGAAAAAACTCACCATAAATTACTAAAAGGACAAAGGTTTTGTTTATCTTCAAAAGCCAAGTCAGATCAGAAAGTCAGATAACAGCAGATCAGTGTGCATGTTATTCAGTGGGTAAAGACTTTCTAGACAACTATAAAGATTAAGGAGAATGGCCACAGAAACATAATAGCAATTATTCATTTGATGTATATACAGTAACCGGTGCTGCAATTATTCCATCTGAAATTAAGACTTTCAAGCTTGCTATATGCATTTAAAAACCCTTTAAAAGAAAACAGAATCCGAATTCCACAGATCCATGCTTGATGTGCTTCAATGTGCACTTTGTGTAGTAGGAGGGATTAACTCGAGGTCCAGCCTGGTGTCAGATCATAAACGTTTGATACAAACCAGTGGTGGGTTGCTAACCAGTCTACTACCTACTGGTTCGTTTGTACTTGCGTGTGCAACACTTCTGCGCATGCGCAGAAGCGTCCGGGCGGGTGGGCAGAGCCTCCCACCACCACTACCAGTTCGGCCAAACTGGCAGCAACCCACCTCTGGTGCAAACTGAAGTTTTACTCTAAGAATTAGTCCTCTTAGATATGGGTCCATAGCTTTTGCTCCAAATAAACTATAACAGCAAAGACAAGGTCAAGGCACCTACTGTGCAACAAATCACAACATGCAAATCACAATATGCAAGTTCCAAGTTAAGCTAATGCAGAAAATGAAAGCCAACCAGTTCCACAAGATGATCTTCAGCATATACCCACTATTGTCAATGATTACATCAAGAATTGCTTTGAAATTCTGAACACAGGGAACCAATGAACCATGGAATGAAATTTAAAAAGCTGCTAAAGATCAAAATGCAGGTTGGGGACTTCCTGGAGAAGGTCTTAGCTATGTGGCTGCTAAGAATCAGTGTCAGATATGCACAAAAGACTTGTCTTTACATAGCATATAAATCTGTATCTGTTGTTAATCAGAAAGAACTGTTTTGAAAAGCCCCTACCAATAAAGGCCTTAACATTCAAGTGATGAAAAAATTGACAAAACCTCAAAGAAAACCCACATAGTATTTGCATTATTTTTCCAAAAGGAAAAAAAAGGAAAATCCTAAATATCCATGTGGCAACCATTACATCTAGTATATCTCAGTTTCAAATAGTTGAAATAAAGTAATTCCATATAAAACTTGTTATAAAGTACCATTGGTTTCATTGCAAATGCTAGAGACCTACTTTTGTACAATCTCTACCCGAGTGAACAGGTGCCTACTCAAAGAGTTGGCAAATATTAACAGAAAAGCTAAATAAACACAATGAAAACATATTTTGCCTAATACAGTGCAACTTTCTCATGAATCAAAACATTTCATACACTGTGATATGGCTATATGGAACCACCAATCACTAATCACCTTGCATGTTAAAAGTTAACATTTGACAAAAAGTTTTCAAGAACTGAATGCATTTGAAGCAAAATCCTGTAAGAACTTAACAGAAAAAGTCACTTACATCTGATTGCAGTTTAATCTAGTTCCCACATGAAAAGATGAACATTCATTTTTTTAAAAGAATGTCATAATGACTAATTAGGAGTAAAGACTGTAGAGCCTCTTCTACTGCCAGTATGTAATTTCTGGTTTATCTGTCTTAACAAATATTAAGATACATATTCCAAAGCTTTTAAAACATTTCTTTTCCAGTCTAGTGCCCTTCAAAAAATTGTGTAATAGAATGAGAAAATGCCAGACAGCAGGTAAAATTACACTAAACACAAATCAGAGTTATCCAAATTAATATTCAATTCCAAATGGATCCCTCTCTCCATATCAATGTTACTATTAAATTATTACTAAATGTATCTTAAACCAAACTAGTTATTTTGTCTTTTTTTAAAAAATCTTTAACTCTGCTTCCATCTTGTGGCCAGTCAGAATAAATAACAAGTTTGTCTCTCCCTTTATTCTGATGGACATCTAAGTTGAATTCCATTGTATCTACTATCATCAACATTATATAAGATATGTGAAATGTTTAAATAGAGTATATTTCAGTACAGTAAGCTATAACAACATATTCTAGCACAAACATTGCAAGTATGAAGAGATAACACTTCTATCAACAATTCATAACACCCTGTCACACGCTTCTTTTAGATCAGGGATTGCATTGTTGGTTGTACAGTTGTTGGAGATATTGCAATGGTCTCATACTGACTTAGCATGCTATGCAAAGCTGTGGATAGGCTAATGTTACATTAAGAAAAGAAGAGCAAGTAACAATACCCTGCCTTCTATTGCAATGGAGTTGGTCAGTGCTTCTGAAAAAAAATCTGTGCTTTCTGCAGTTCTAAAATGCTTAGCCCTCATCCCAGCACACTGGGTAATTTGCTCCATTATCAAAGAACTTAGAATAAAACCATGGGCATGAACTGAACACTCATTTTGAAACCATGCCAACATACCCTCCCTATTTGGTCTGGTAAAAAGCCTGCAGCATTCTCAGACTCCTTTAAGGAATGCTTAATGAATGCAGGGTTTTCACAAGCAGTTTTGGGGGCTAGGGGAGAGGGAGGGCAGGAGGACAAGAGAGACAATGCAAAATGGGATTGTGTAGCCATCTCTTCAAAACAACAGAGGACAAGTTAATCCTCCATTTTAAATAAAAACAAAACATGTAAGGCAGGGGTGTCAAGCTCATGTCATTGCGGCATCACGTGACATATCGGGACATTTTTCTTTCACTAAACCGGACATGGGCGTGGCCAGCATATGATGCATCCGGCCTGCAGGCCAGGAGTTTGCCAGCCCTGGTATAAGGCCTTTAGATCAAATCTAGTAGCAACTGAAACATCAGATACTTTAAAATGTGAGTAGTCTAGACCAGGGGTGTCAAACCCACTTCATACGTCGTTGTTACATGATGTATCGGGACTTTTCCCTTCGCTAAACCAGGCATGGGCATGGCCAGCACATGGCATACCTGGTCTAGACAATACTATTATGACTCACAGCCATCATTTATTTTCACCATATTACTGTCAGTCAATTTCCCTATTATTACAGTCAGTGCTATCTACCATATTTTTTTTCATTTGTAATTTTAAACAAATGAGCAGAAGTAGTACCGGCTTTTGCAGACGTCCAGCTACATAAAGTGTCTTCCATCGCAGCAAATCTTCAATTAAAGCATCAGTACTTATGACACCGTATTTTATAATCTGGCAGAAAAGAAAGCTAAATCAGACAAATGTAATTTTGAAATAGGTTTAGCTCTACCTAAATCAAACATTGAAAAGCTAAAAATGTCAGAAGTCTTATTATTCTGACCTTTAAAAAAAAAAAAAAAATCAGATTTTTATCTAACTTTGCAGGTCATTTTCCTGAAAAGCAACACATAGCACAGAGCAGGAACCATTTTTCTCAGGAAACTTTGACTAAGCTGGCAATTTCTTCTTATTCTCCTACATACCCTTGAACTCAGATTCTTTTCTCTTCTCTGATTTGTAAGACTTCCTAAGAAGGTTGCTATGTTCCTGTGACTGGGTTTTGAAACCCTCAGTAACTTAAAAAGTTTAATTAGAATAAACATTTCATTAATAAAATATCAGAATATTGCGTTCTAACAGCATTACAACACTGGAGAAAGAAGATAAACATCAGACAAATTAGAAATAATTCTGCATTTTTCTTAATGTGTAAACATGACTTACCCTACCATTACAAGGCACCAATGTATTGTAGTAAATCCCTGCTCCATAGTTTTGGACGTTGCATATTGATTTGGTTCCAAAATATTTTAGGCAGGAATAATGACTCCGGTTTTTTGACAGGTTCATTGTATGCCATGTTGTAGAATCATCAACTGCAAATACAAAATCCAGCATATTGTTCTGCAAAGGAAAATAAAGTGGACTGACTTCTCTAGTTGGCAAAATCCACAATTCATCTGCTAGGATTAGAATCTTTAGCACCAATCTCATTTTTAGCTTATCCAAGAAATGTGTGAGACATGAAGGACAATGTTACTTGGACATCTCTTTTCCGGTGTGGGGCAGGAAGGACATTTGTCATTAGGTTGTCAGACTAACAGACAAGTAAAATACACTATATTGCCAAAAGTATTCACTCACCCATCCACATAATCAGAATCATTTTTGAGCGAATACTTCTGGCAATATAGTGGTTTGCAGGAACTCTAACCCCTACTCTTTGAGGAACATTAGAACAAGAAACTCAATTCAATGCAGTTCCCTGCATTATATACACGTAACCTCTTCCACAAATCTAAAAAAATCATGAACAGTTGCCATCTTCAGCTATAATGGACTAGGACTATTTTATTTTTAAAAAAAAACTTGAGGAAACTTCTGATTAATTCAGTGGACAGGTGTTCCAGGCAGCAATCACTGAAAGCCTTGTAAGGAGTAGGCTAAAGCAGTAAAAATAAAAAACTCAATGTTAGAGAAGCTGTAACATGGTCGCTGGTGATAGAACTCAATTCAATCTTTCCCAATTTAAGTCAACCTCCTATGTAACACAGGGTTTAAGTAACAAAGTTGAAAGAAGGTGGCCATCTCTCAAGGATACTAGCACTCATTCAAGCGTATTAAATTCATGTTTAAGAAACAGGTCTCCTCCTCTTTCCAAGGGTATATAAAGAGCTTGGATAGATCTATCAAGTGGGCAAAATAGCTCAGTGGTGATGGATGGGCATAAGGGCTTTAGACTCCGTCCCGTCCCACCTCCGTTCTGGCTGTAGAAGACCCCGCTTGTTGGAAGACCCCAGAGCCATAAGCGAAGGCTAGGCTGAGCTCTTGGGGGAAGTGAGACAAGATCCTGCGGAACTTCACGGCTGAGCTCGGCAAAGACATGCGGGCAGAGGGGCAACAAAGAGGCTCCCCCGGAATTCGTGCTCGGCGCCTTCTTCCAAGCAGCACGTGGTCAGTCCGGGCGGAAGCCTCGCCTCGCCAGTAGCTCCGGAGGAAAGTTGGTCGGTGATGGGAGAGGAACAACAGACAAGTAGCCGAAGGACGCTGCCTAAAACCACAGCGCCCCCTGCCTCAGGCGGTTATCGCTCTTTCGCTTTAATAAAATAGAGGTCGCGCGCTCTATTCAATACATCGGAGTGCATCTTTAGTGGATGTAAACACGGATTCAGCAGCCTCTGTGCAATCGATGAATTATATTCATAAAAACGCTGGTGCGCTAGCTTCAGGGTTGCCTTGTATAACGCCTCCTGTAATTTAATCTTTTCTTTAACAGATTAACAGAGTTGGAAGGGACCTTGCAGGTCATCCAATCCAACCCCCCCCCCCCCCCCAAGCAGGAGACCCTATACCATTTTTGACAGATGGCAGTCCAGTGCCTTCTTGAAAGCTTCCAGTGACGAAGCTCCCACAACTTCTGAAGGCAAACCATTGGTTGATTGTTCATTTTTAATTTAGGCTCTTTGGAGCATACAAAATTAAAATATGGTTAATTAGTTTGTGGCTTAGAGCTGTTGTCCCCAATTCAGGTCTGAATCTGGTGCTGAGGTTGATGAAGGACGTCAGACAAGAGGTGCAGGTTTTGTTTCCTTTTATTGAAGCGATCCAAATAAAGGGGCCCCGGTCAAAATGCCAAGAGTCCAGAAGTGTTGGAAGAAATGTCCTTCTGGGTTCAGCTCCAAGTGTGGAAAAAGACACTGGAGACATGGAGGCTGCTTGGAAAGATGATTTAATGGTGGACATGATCACATGGTTTGAGTTCCTGAACAGAAAAGGGGGGTCACATGCTTCGATGGTGGGTGAAGAAGAGAAGAAAGTGAGATGTTGAAAGTTCCTGGTTTTATACTCTCTGTTCGGCCCCACCTCCTGTTCCTGTGTAAGAAATGTATTCTGATTGGTTGCCAGACTCCCATGGGGCCATGCAGGGGCAACTCTCTATGCTGTTTTGGCTGAGTTCCCAGATGCTATGTGGTGAGTTGGGTAAAGGGCTAATACTATCATGCCTTAAGCCTATCACCCTGGAGCTGAAGGGGGAACTCTTTGTTATGTAGAATAAACTGACACAGGCATTTTAATGGCCCATTAAGGAAAGTGGAGGCTATTAAGAGTGAGTCTGTTTCCTGCCTAAGAACATGTTTCTCCATTTCTGATCCAGAGAAATATAATATTCTGCCTTTTCAATATTTCCTAGGATATTTCATTTTTCTAGGAGAGGGGTGGGTTTTAACCTCTTACAGAAAGATTAAGAAAGCTGTATACAATTTCACTAAAGCAGAAATCTTGATAAGGTGGCAGAATAAGAAATATCATATAATAAACATTTTAGTGATGATCTAACCGTTTGCTTTATTGGTGTCTAGCCATTCCTATTTCTACGCCTTGGCTAATGAATGCTCCGGGAATTATCTAATACTATTTGCTCCGGGCCATCTCTATTCCTAACTTTTAGCTGAGCTATGCGGGATATCAAACTCTGTTATTAGTTCTCTAACCACCTAGAATTGCTACAAGCTTTACACGTGCACATTCACTGTGAATAAGCATTCTTTGTTCTGGCCAGACAGACCCCACAATTAAAGGCTTCCAAGTCTCCTTTCAATTTTATGCCATAACCTTGGTTTGTTTTAGCAGCCAGCCCATCAGAGCTGTGTTTACATAATTTGGACCTGATGTGGTACCCTTTGGAGAATCCTGTTTTGTACACAGAGGCTAGCCCTGAGTTTGAGAAATTGTATCCCTAGGATGGTGTTTCTCAACCTTAGCAATGTTAAGATGATTTCTGGGTTTTGGAAGTCCACAAATTTTGTTGCTGAAGGTGAGAAACACTGCCTTGGAGGAAATTTCTATCCATTGGGTCTCCGTGAGATTTTTTTCTTAATCCCTATTGAAAACCTCCTTCAATCAAACCTACTGCTAACTCTCCACTCTCCGGCTAACAGGAATGCTAAGTGGTGTCTCTCACCTCCCTCCAGGCTCAATAATATCCAAGATGCTATTTATGAAAGATAATTAATGTTTACTTTCCTGCATTNGCCGAACTGCAGATAGCAGTCAGCAGAAGTGGCCTGCAGTACTGCACCCTAACCACTGCGCCACCTCGGCTCCTAAGACTATCTTCCATTTAAAAAATTAAAAGTTTTCAAAGTATATTCTGAAATTTTGTGCTAAACAATAAACTTCTTTCAACATTGTTGGAGTTCCTGTTGAATATCCATACATGGAAAGGATCTATAACTTCCTATTCTAACAATAAAATGACTTCTCAACAACTTTTAGGAAATCAGCTGACATTTTTGGTGGGAAGAGTGCTGTTAACATGGATATACAAATGTATAAAATACTCCTCCCCATCAGACCATTGACTGGGGCTGATAGAAGTTAGAATATGAAAATCCAACAACAAAAAATATTGCCTCAACAATGGAAGAATGAGTCAACCTTGAGCCAGTCAGAATCAAACTCCTGGCAGTAGGCAGAGTAAGTCTGCAATACAGTATTCTAACTACCGCACCATGATGGATACACAATTCATTGTGTATAATTAATTGAATAAATCACAACGAGCCATGCTACATAAATCACAGTTTGGATTCACATCATACGCTAAATCAAAGCCACCCAATCCACCTTATGGAGGACCTAGAACTCTGCCACCTACAGTCTGACCTAAGTGTAGTACACAAAATTATCCGCTACAATGTCCTACCTGTCAATGACTACTTCAGCTTCATCCAAATAATACATGAGCAAACAATAGATACAAACTCAAGGTAAACTACTCCAAATTTGATTGCAGAAAATATGACTTCAGCAACAGAGTGGTCAATGCCTGGAATGCACTACCTGACTCTGTTGTTACATCCCTAAACCCCCATAATTTTAACCAAACACTATACTGTTGACCTCACCCTATTCCTAAGAGGTCTGTAAGGGGCGTGCATAAGTGCACCAATGTGCCTACCATCCCTGCCCTACTGTCTCCATTTATTTGTACCCATTTACTGCGTTCATAGTTTTGTTTATAATTATACTTATATCTTTTACATGTTTGACAGGCTAAATAAAATAAATAAAAATAATACATAAAAATATTTGAGAAATTAAAAAAACTACTGTATTTTGCACCTTTGGAAGCCCTTCAGATTACTATTGCTAAAGGTCAATTGCAGGGTGTCTTGTGACATGAAACAGAATTAACACAGCTAATGCCTGACTAAGGGAATAAAGACCCAGGAAAACTAATACATCATGGCTACTTACCATGTATGTAGAAGTACCAGATCTGGACTGCAGACAGCTGGATGATTACTACATGGCAGCAAATAGGTATGGAAAATTCTAATTCTTTGTTACCATATATTTGTCATCTTGGTTTTATTTCAGGCCAAGCATTCATTCATTCATTCATTCATTCATTCATTCATTCATTCATTCATTC